CTTTCTGAGATCCCAACAAAAGCCACAGCTCCATGTCCTCCATAAGATATAAGCCCACATCTGCATGCCAATGTGCATAGAATCAGAGTAGAACCCACACTTTCTAAAAAGATCCTTACGCCTGCCTAGTCCACCCAGATAGTGTTGCAGAGGGTACTAGTCACACCCCAAAGACCCTTTCTTCCATTCTTTTGTGCCATTACAAGTCTTGCCTGGGCACATGGCTTCTAAGCTAATAACTTTTCTTCCTAGCTTTTGGTAATGTGTGTTACCATGTAATGAAGCTTGAGTGTATGAGAAGTGTCCAGACCCTACCCATCCTTTCACCACTGTTGTCAAACTTGCTAGGTGAAGTTGGCATTAGAGAGGACTTCCCATAGGTGTGGAACATCTAGGTGACTCTGAAAATGAGGGCTTTGTGAAAGGGGAATACTCTGGAACTCAAGTGTCAGTCTTTTCTTCCACTGAGTCAGCATGTTCGCTAATCTCTCAATAAAGAGCTTTCTTTCAAGATGAGCTTCCAGGGGCATTCCCTTCTAGTTGAATATTTAAGGTTTTGTATCAATCAGCTTAACACAGGCACAACAATTTCAAAACAGTGATTAAGGACAGCAGCAAGTCACACACTATCTACTGTTGAACCACATCAATGGGCTTCACATGACCTAGATAGAAGACTTTGTAGCACCCAAGAATTTAGAATTTGCAATAAAGATATTCATTATGATAAACACTGAAAATGTATGAAACACCTAAATGGCAGTTGGAACAAGAATATCTATGATTGAGAGCCTGCACAAACATCCTTCAAATTTCTTTTCAAGGAACAAATATATTCATGTTCCATTTGAACTAAGTCCTTATATCAAGAGATAATGCTGACATTACATTGTATTTGGTCTCATCATACTGTAACCAGCTTTGAAGTTTTCATTAATTAAAGTGAAAAATATCTCTGAAATCAGTTCTCTGACTCTTTAGATGACAACCTGTGATAAATCCTCAGACCTCACCGTTTCATCCTAGGCCTGGGATTTCCCTTCTCTGCACTCTAAAAGAAGCCTTTGTGAAGCTAACAGTCACTGCTTTGATCCAGGTCTTATCATCCCTTGATGGGTGACTGCAGTAATGTCCTCTTGTAACTACTTTTTTTTTTCTTCTGTTTCTTCCTGACCCCAGTGTATTCTCTATACCACTGCATTTCCTCCTTGAAACGCAAAATTAATAGTGCTGCTCTAAAACTCTGATAGTTCCTATCACCTTCAGGATAATGTCGACTAGGACCCAACTGTATCTGCTTCTCCCTCTGCTTAGAATGCCTTTTGTCAGTTTGAGTAATTTCTCCTTACTCTTCAGAACTCAGTTTATGCCACATCTGTGATGATTTTGGAAAGCCAGTGTTATTCATTCCCTCCTTTTGTTACTTTGCACGTACTTTTTTTCATATTTTTATTTATTATTTTTATTTTATGTGTATGAATGTATTGCCTGCATGTAAATGAGTGCACCTGTGTCATGCAATGCCGCAGAGGTCAGAAGAGGGCGTCGGATTCCCCTGGAACTGGAGTTAAGGACAGCTCATAGCTGTCCCGGGTCCTCTGCAAGAGCAGTCAGTGCTCTTAACAGCTGAGCCATCTGTACTTTGTTTTTATAGCCTATCATGCCATGTAATCAAGTATAATGGTTTATTTCTAGAACTATCTTCTTCCTTAAAGACAAATATTATATCCTTAAAACAAAAATCTTTGTGTACTTAGTACACATAGCATAATGTTGGGACATAGTAAAGCCTCAATAAATGTTTTGCCAAATTAAATACAGCACTTTAAAAATTAGTAATATCTATTTTCAAACACAAATCAATAGCCTAATGAAAGTGGGTTTTCAGTAATTTAGGTGGCCTGGTGTAGAGAAAAAGCCTTTCCGCAAACTGCCTGTGTGTCTGGGTGGGTGTGGTCCTTCATCTCTGGAGGTATGAGACTCTTTACTTGCATTAGGAGTTAAATTTTGTTCCCTTAAAATCCACATTTTGAAGTCCTTAGGATGTGACTTTGGAGTCTTCACAGAGAGAGATAATGAAGTTAAAGCTAAGACATTGGGGTGGTGCCGTGGACTTCATTATCCACTCCCCCCAAATACCCCTCATATTCTAAAGTTTGAAACCTCACCAGAACTACATCTGGGAACAGGTTGTTACAGAAATATTTAAGTTTAAGTGAGGTCATTGATGTGAGCACTTATCTAATCTGACTGGCATCCTTATAAGAAGAGGAGAGACAGAGACACCAGGGCTGCATGTGCTAAGGGGAAAGGCCAATGGCAAGTCAAGGAGAGGTCTCAGGAGAAATCAAACCTGATGACACCTGGACCTTGAAATTCTAACCTCCAGAACTGAACTGTGAGACAATAAATTCCAGAAGTTTAAGTCATCCAGTTTGTGACGCCTTATGATGCCCCTGGCAAACTAAGACACCTCGGCAACTCTTAGTAACAGTTCTTGTTGACATCCTTTCAAACTGAATAATGGACTATCTCCTGTAGGAGGAATGTCACTTGGTCACTTTTGTCACCTTCCAGATGATGAAAAGAGGTCCAAGAGAGGAAAGTGGCTGCCCTATGCCTAGTAGTTTTGACTGGATGAGATCCTGATAAGATTCTATGCAGAGCACCATGTTCCTGCCACTTCCTGTCCCTCCATACCTCATAAATCCCATTTCATGCACAGTAATCCAGTTCACACTAATGTATTCTTCATCTACAGAATGGCTTAAATGGGTAAGAACATCTTTATGTGTTCTCTTAGAATGCCCAAAGTCAAATGCTCCTAAGTGTAAGCTTTGTGGCCTGCCAAGACTTTATTATGTTCGACTTAAGATTCTTGTCCAACAATCTTGAAGCATGAAAAGAGCCCCTGTCCTCACACCCTGTTTTTAGATAAGACAGCGTAAAATGTTTGCTGCCCTGTCCTTAAACAGGCTGCTACAACCAAGAAGGGTTGGGCTGGCATAATGGTTATTTCTTCCTCACCTACAAAGAAAAAACCCGACTTTTTCATTATGATTTTTAAGGCATTTTAAGTGCATTCTCTCTTTCACGAATACCCATGAGGGTTCCAGGAAGAGCGAGCTCAGTTTTAACATTTACTCTGTAAATCCTCACTTAAACTTTTTATAGCTTTTCTTTGCCTACAATGTGAAGCTGTTAATACTATCTATATTATTTGGTTGTAAGAATTAAATGAGATGCGATGTAGCTGATAGACAGTTAAGACCTGTTAGCTACTGTGTATAGATGAAGAATCTAAGTCTCACAGAAGTTGAATGTTTTAACCTTGTAAGTAGAAAGGGAAGCACTGGATCTAGGCCCTCTCGGGCTACATTTTCAAAGCTTCCCACTATGCAATACTGTTTTCTTGGTCTTTCTGGAATGTTATGAATGACTGTGGGCAGGGAAAGGGATCTGGATTAGGAGGCTATCTTACATATGATTTGTGTGCCACATGTAGGAAGGAGAAAAATGGCTGGCTCAATGGCATAGCTGCATTAGGTTCAAGGAAGAACTCGCAGCATGGATGTCTTTTCTCTGGACTCCTCCAGGGGAGTCTCTGCTACTCAGAGATCTCAGTTATGCTGAAGTTATGCTCAGTAGCTACATTCCCCTATCCTTCATCTCTGCTCATCTGATGTCTCACAGGTAACAAGTTGACTGTGGACAGGACTGTGAAATGACTCCTGCCCTCTTTCCCAGGCAGTGAGGTGAATGCCAAGATATAAGTAATGCTTTTCAGGGCTCTCCCTATGGCGGAGACACACAGTCTGGTACAAGAGGGCAGTGGTCTAGTCTCTTACTAAGTAGTTATATGGGCTTACTTAATCAACTTTCTTTCCAACTGAATAATGATTTTTTCTATTTAGAAAAAGAGAAAATCTAATCAAAATATTTAGGTTTAGGCATTAACTTACAAGTTGAAGAAACTTGAATACATTTCAACTTTGTGAACTTCAAGTTCCTCGTGTGTAAGATGAGGCTGATGATGGCACTCATTTGGGAAGGTTATTTGAATCAGAAAAGATGATGCAGTTGAAAGTGCCTTGCCAATAATTAATTCTGTGCTACCAAATTCATGATTATTTCCCCAGCTTCTCATTCCAGATCTTAGTCTCACCTCTCTGACTCCTCTGGCCCTCTGACTTACTATAAGATTCACAATTCATTCATAACAGGAGACCCTTCATTCTTTCCTGTGCTGCATTATGGAGCAGATGCTTTGTATCTTTACGGTGCTTTGCTAAAGAGCTGAGATCACATATCAGATTTATCCTTTTCTTACAGCATAGGTAATGGGTAAATATTTATTGATGGTATAGAACATCATTCTATCAATGGCATGGACTTGGGACTCAGGACTGCATTTCCTTACCCAGACATCCTTTCAGGTTGGATCCATGGCAGGAGCCAAAAAGAAAGGATCATATCTGGAGACCTGAGTTCTGGTTCTGATCCAGTCCACTCCCCTTTGGCTCCCCATTTATTCCTCAACTGTGAACCAAATGTAAATAATGTAATACCACCTGGGACAACATGAAAGCATACTTATTAAATGCACCTGGAGACTTTGGCAATAAAAGGAAAATACGGGTACTGGAGAGATGGCTCCGTGGTTAAGAGCACCTGCTGTTCTTCCGAGGACCCCAGTTCAATTCTCAGCACCCACATGGTGGCTAATAACTGTCTGTAACTCCAGTTCCAGGTGATCTGATACCCTCTTATGGCCTCTGCAGGCATTGTACACAGGTGGTGCACTTATTTACATGCAGGCAAAACATACACATAAAAATAAAAATAATAAAATATTTTAAAACAGAAAATATGAAGTGTTTTTGGCAAGCTGAAGGCCTTTGTTGTGGAAACAGAGCATTGGCCAAGTTAGAATAGGGTTTTTCATTGATAAAGTACCCTAGCTGCCACCAGAGTACTCACCTGTAGAATCTAGTGGGCACTCATGCTGCAGGTTGAAGGTCTGGGAGCGGCTGCTGACTGGGTTGCTCGCATTACATCTGTAGATGCTGCCATTGCGTTGGGGCCCAACGGTGATATTCAAGAGGTGGGAGCTGTTATGTGGGCTCGGCAGATGGGTACCTGCCTCATCACTCCAGCTGTAAGTCACGTGATCCCCTTTCTCCACGGTACAGGCTAGTATCAAGCTGCAGGTCCTATTCTCCCAGGCTCTGTTTAACACTTTAATTTCTGGAGTAGAGACCTGCTCTGTCAGGAGAGGAGGAAGGAAGCCATCACTGAAACAAACCTCCTGGAATTCTCAACTGATTTTTTTTTTGTTAAAACAAATTATGGCCAAATGGTATTTTTCCCTCCCTGACCAGCCTTCAAGTGTGTTACCTCCAGAAGGGAGCTGTTGCTCACACCATGTCTCACCCCCACTTAGGCCCTTTCCAGGACCCTCTTGAGACAGAATAGAGAAGTATTTGTTTCTTTAGTTGTTTCTTTAGTTCCCTTCAGCCGAAACTGTTAGGACTCTACTTGTCTCTCCTGGTGTTCTCCATCTAGATTTTTCTGTCATATTCTATAAGAAGTAGAATGGGTTTTGGTTGGCTTAAAGTATGATGTCCTAGATCAAATATCATGAGCTTTCAGTAGAAGGACTTCATGAATAGTGAGAGAAAGAGAGAGAGAGAGAAAGAGAGAAGTGCTTTGTGAGTCTAAGGCAGGGATAGGTTTTTACTCATAGCCACAGGCCCCACCCATGCATGCTACTCTAATGCCATGAAATAGGCAAGGTAAAAGGGGAAGTTATAGCTGTGGTAGGACAAGCACAGTGCTAGCATTTCACACCCATCTTCTTTAATTCTCTCAACAATTATAACTCATAATAATTACTTCTACTTTATAGGTGAAGAAACAGAGAAATGGCACGTCTTAAAAGGCATCACACGGCTTCTAAGACAAGAGCCCCAGCCTGACTCGAAAATCAGCCTCTTTGCTCTGGAGAAGTAAGTTGTGGTTGTATGTACCACACTTTGCAAACCACTCAGTTGATTACAAGGTGTGACAAAGACAGTAAACTTGTAGGAACCAAAGGGCAGACCATATGCCGTGCACATTGTTTTGAAAAACACACAATGTGTGGCCTCCATGCTCCCAGGAGCCTTGTTCCAGAGTCACTCTCGAAGTGGTCAGGACTTCTGAGTGCCCAGCAGAGAGCTATGGGAATACCGTGTGCTCTTCTGTTCTCTTTACGGGAGAGGGAATGCTGGGGCAGGAGACAGTCAACAGGGGAATTCGTGTGTCTCTAGATACCTGGTGGACTTCCTGCTCCATCCTCAGCCAAATAAGAGATATCTTTGAAAATGCAAAGAAACCCCAACATGTCTGTCAGGAGGCCTGGACAAATAAGTGAGCCTCTGGGCCCAAGAAATAGGAACTCTGAGGCTTTCAAAGAGAGGAGCAATGGTTAAAGAGGCTAAAAAGCTCTGGCCTGGATTCAGGTGGACCTGGGTTCTAGTTTAAGTAGTGCAACCAAACAACTTTATAATCAGATCCTTCATTTAAATGAGAGGAAAAAAAAATGATTTCTTCCACCATGTAGGCATAAGCCTAGGCCGAGGCTCAGGGCTTAGTGACCCACCTGTGGGTGGAATTTCAATCTCTTTAACCTAGAACTCCCAGTGCAGTGAACCTCCTACACAAATGTGGGTAAGAACGCGCAAAACCACTTGTGTCTGGATTTCAATGCCCTTGTCTATGAAAGAGAGGTTGAGTTTGCTCAGTTGTATTCAAACTTTTTAAAAGTCAAGAAAAACTATTTTTTTTCCAAAATAAAATCTTATGTACAAACTAAGACTACTGGAGGGTAGGCCTCCGGTTCACATGCAGCCAAGCCCCCTTCCTTTCAAAACAGGGCACAGATCAGCTACCACCAAAGTGCAATTTGAAAGAAAGATAGAAAAAGAAAGAAGAAAGAAAGAAAGAAAGAAAGAAAGAAAGAAAGAAAGAAAGAAAGGAAAGAAAAAAAATGTCAGTCTCTAAAATGCTTCCTTGAAACTTAAGTTCTCCTAGGACTAGATGATCTATCAAGTTGCTTCCGATTCCACATACCCTTTGCTTCTGAGAAAGGCCTAAACTCTTGGACAGAGGACATTTTAGACCCTCTAGGAGGATACAGGGAAATGCCTATTATTACCATAAAGCTTCAGTTGCACACAAAAGTGCTGAACTGACACATTTTCCTCCAGGCTCATAAAGTACCATCCTTCTCTCTCCTTCCTGCTTCCCAGGATCCTCAGGCTCAGATTTTCCCAATGAAACAGGTAGCCATTTTCCTGATAATCTAGAGTGCCCCCTTCAGGTAGGTCAAGAGACACTATTTTCTTCTTGATGCTGCTGCTGGGAGATGTTGCCTTTGTGACAAGGATGCGGATGCTCCTGTTCGTGCTCTTATTTATTCGTTCATATGTCAGAGGCAACCACGTGTCGCTTCCCAAAGGCTGGAAAATCTTTGGGCAGTTCATCATGCCCCCACCTGTGGGAAGGAGAGGAGAAGACTTTAAAATGGAAGAGCTGGAGAACCACATTGTTGAGAAATGACAGGCTGAAGCTCTCCTTCCTCTTGAGCTATCCCCACATTGCCAGGCCCTTAGTGGTCTACAAAGGCTACCACAGGGGTCCCCTCTATATCCTCAGTATTTCAAAATTTTCAATGGGGACCCCAAAATTACTTAAGAGAGCTACATAGACTAAAACACTGGGGTTCTACCAACTCAGACATTTAGTTAAGGTACATAAAGCATAAATAAAGTAAATGACTTCTCAAAAGTCACATTAGAATCAGCAGGATCAGGACTAGAATCTCTATCTATAACTTCTCTGCCAGGGTTCTCACCAGCACTGGACATACAGGACGAAGGGTGGAGAACAATGAAAAGGAGCCCAGGAACCAGTTACAAAAGCATCATGTCGGGTGATAAGAAGCAGAGGTCTAAGGAATGTAGAGTCAGGGAGGTGGTGAGACACAATTCCAAACTGAAATCCTGGCTCTCCAAAAATCCTTGATATAGTTAATAATGCTAAGGATGAGAGAATATTTCCCTTTTTTAAAAAAAGGCTGAGCTAGCAAGAACAACAACAAAAAAAGAGAGACACCAAAACCACTATAAGGGACCCTACTGCTGACTATTTAACACCTCCTCTTTGCTCAAACCCACAGCCTCTCTCTCTGTCTCGCCTTCTCTCTCTCTCTCTCTCTCTCTCTCTCAGTTGCTAACCTCCTTTTCATTTCGCTGAAAAAATATAGAAGAAATAAAAAATGAATTTCAATTTTTGACAGTCCCAAACCATTCTGCATTCCCATAGAAGGCCAGCCTCTTCCCTTAATGGATACTCACTCATTTTTAGGATTTGTTTGTGTAACCCACCCCCTGTGTCATCAGTTGCCTTCTGGTATCCTTCCATCAACATACATATGCAAACATGCAATTGCCCTTATTTGAAAATCCTCAGATTCCAGGTCCATCTTCAGCCACTGTCCATTTTCGTTTTCTCGGGGAAGGTCCCTCCGTGTCTGCTATTCTTTATTCTTACTCATGGGCCTAATTTCTCCTGCACTGACACCAAGTAAATATTCTTCACTACCACTCATTAGGACACATAGGTCAAGATCAGAGTCTGCTCTATGGAGCCAAGGCAATTCTCGATCTTTATCTTATTTGTTTCCCAGGAACACTTGACACAGTTCATCACTCCCTCCTTGAAACATTGTCTGTATTGGTCCCTGGAATACCACACTCTCCTGACTTCCTATTTCATGGTTTATCCTTCTCAGTGTCCTTGGAGGAAAACTTCTGTTCTTTCAGATCCCTAAATAATGGAATATATACCAAGGCTCAGTACCCAGACTTACTTTCTTTTCTTTACCTACCTCTATCAAATCTCTCATTCAACTGCAGAGTTTGACATATCTCTGCAATATTTACAGTGTTATATCTTATAGCTAATCCCGTCTCAGTAGACTCTTGAAATGACATCTGACTTAGCCAATGAACTCTCCATGTCAAACATGACCAGTCACCTAATGTCTTAGGCCCAAACACTGGAACATTCTTGAGTCCATCCTTTCTCACACTCCACATTCAGTCTGACAGAAAATCCTGCTGGCTCTAATTTCAAAGTAAATTTGATATCCAAGCACTTCCCACATCCTTCCCACCACCATCATCACAGGCCCAGTTACTACCACTGTCTTCCAGCTAATCTCCCAGCATTTGCACAAGGGACAGAATAATCCTTTAAAACCATGTCTGATATCTGTATGTCTTTCCATTGCTTTTAAACTTCCAGGGCTTTCTAGCACTTATAAAGTTCACAGTCCTTGGCTGATGTCTGTAATTACTCTAATTCTATAATTGCTCCAATTCTATTTCCTGGCTCCCCTCACACTATGCCTATACTGACTTCGTTCCTTAAACTCATCAAGAACATTCCTGCCTCTGAGTTTGCATTTGCTGTCTCTTCCATTGTGTACCTGGATAACTCATTCCTTCACTTTATTTTAGGTTCCTCTTCAAAGAATATCTTCTCTGAGAGACTCCTCTGACCACATATCTAGAATAGCCTTCCCGCAATTGCTCTTGTCACCAATCGCATCTTGTATCTGATGTTATAGTGTCCATTTGTTACTCTATTGCTCTCTGGTCACATGAAAGCAATGTCTTCTGGAGAAAGAACTTTATGTCCCTTTTTTTTTGTCTGAAGACCTAAAGTATTTGGTACATAGGAAGCTTTTAAATAAATATAAGCACTTGTTCAGTTTACAAGTGCTGGAAACCATATTATGTCGGCAAATCTCTTATTTAGCCTTGCCTAACATGTATATAACCTAATTTAACCATAAGTTCGTGTTCATGAAAGGAGCACATGACTCAGGGAACATAGATTGTTCTAGCAGATAAGAAATTCAGAAGAGTAAAATAAAACCACCTGCTTCAGTAATGGGTCTAGCCAGAAAAGGCCCCTTCACAGTTGGGTGTTACTAAGATGAGCTACTGGAAATTTTGGTAAACTGGCCAAAATATTCTTGACATCAAAATGCCCTGAAATCTCTACACTGTGCACTAAATGGCCCAGTGAAAATTAACTAAGGACTAGTAATTAGGATAAAAGAAAATGCAGCCCACATGGGCTAAAGTCAGAATTAGTGTGACTGGTATATAATTGTTACAGAAAACTGGAATAGATGATTAGGGATTTGTTCTTTGGGCTATTGCTAATATTAACCCTTAAAAGAGAGTGCTCACCCCTGCTGATTGATTAGACAAAAAGCCTTATTTTCATTGTGGTTGTTGTTTTTACATAGGTATATGAGGAAGTACATTGGACTTTCAGCCACACTCAGGAATACCCGACTATCCAGATGGCACAGCTCCCCTGATGGCTTCACACCCAAATTATACAAAAGTATCCAACAGTGATCTAGGGATCCCTGAACCTAAGTTTCTATATGTGAAAGAGAGAAGACAGAGCCATACATGGACCCCTTTCTTACATACATTTGGGGGGAGAACTTAAATGAATGTCATTTCTCAAGGAGATCTGATATTCAAAAAAAATTAAGAATCACTATTACACTGTTGACTTTTTAGACTAATTTTGACATGGAGAAGGAAAAAATGGAAAATTTACCCATTCTAAGACCATAACTCTTCACTCTCCCAAATGTCTCCTAGACAACCTTACCTCCCACATGACCCAGCAGATCTTTTGTGTTTTCAAAAGATAGGATTGGCAAAAGGAAGAGAAAAACGGGACATGGTCACAGTATGGAGTAGCTAAACAAACAAACAAAAGACAGAAAATAAGAGGAGAACAAGCAAAGGGAAAAGAAGGGGCAGATGAGGACAAACTGTGTGTTTTATACACAGAGGGAATAGAATCAATCCTCACCAGGAGGAGACCCTAACACCTTACAACCCACATGAAGAATGATGATCTAACTGCTTCGGTGACTGCCTGGGTCTAGAGGGTACTTGAAGTCATCTCCACCCAAGCACAAGTGGAAACATAAGTGGGGCTGTAAACCCTTTAAGTGGAGTACCGTCTCTGAAACATCCCACCACCTGATGAGGGTTTTCCAGTGGGCCTGTGATTCAGTCAGCCTGTTTACTGAAAGAGATTCGGAGGAAACATCTATACTCTGCACACCAACTCACTTTCCTTCATGGTTAATTAATTCTACTTTGAAAGTAGGTGATTCACATGGGACCATGAGCAGTGGCCTGAAATGTGCAGGATTTAGCTAGCATATCAGAAGATGGAATTCTACCTCATTACTTTTTTTTCCCTCATCCGGATACTTGACCCGGGCTTTTAGCATCTTGCTAAAGCATTTTTTAGGAGTAAAAGAGACAGGACTCACTGGCCCCACAATACTAATGGTAAATTCAGGACCAGGGAAAAAAAAAAAGGTAACTTATCTAAGGTTGGTTCTTTTGTTTTGTTTGGGCCTTGCTCTAACAGAGATCTGCCTGCTTCTGTCTCCCAAGTTCTGTGATTAAAGGTATGCACTACCACACCCAGCTCTAAGTTTGGTTTTTAAATAGATGCCAGTTAAGTTCCTATTCTATGATGCTAAATGAGCACTGGGCCCTCTGTGGCTTAGACTACTTGAACGTATTATTCCTCAGCCTAAAAGCATGGAACACCTTCTCTTTGCCTGGCCAATTCCTTCTCTCTTCAGTTCTTCACCTTGACATCTGAAGACGTCCCTCACTCCAAGCTGAGCTTAGGTTTCCCTGTCACATGCTTCCTATATACATTGCATCCTTCATATCACTCATCACATTTTAAACTGCTTCAATGTTTGTCGTTCTCACAGAGGTATAAGCTTCCATAAGAGTAGAGACCGTGTCTGTTTTATTCACTGTGGGATCCTAATAGCTACCTGGAACATAGTAAAAGCTCAGGAAATCCTTGTTGACTAAGTGACTAAATAAAATGAAATGAGTTAAATGAATGAATAAACCAGTAACAATGTGAGTCTAAGTTTTCTTTCCACAATCAAAACGTACTCTGTTTTATCTTTGTAGCATCCCTAAGTGGTGTAGTATGAGACATAGCATTTGCCCTTACTTTCCAGGTGAGGAGTTGGAAGTTCCTTAGCTGCAAACCCTAGGTTTAGGGTGCAACAGACTGCTTGTCATTGCACAAGAGCACTTGTTGTAATGCTTTAGCTCTGCATTTGTCTCTTCCCACAGCACTCTCAAGCCTGAGTAGAACTCATATTTGAAAGACACAAGCGACTTACAACCATGTTGTCTACAGACAAGATTAAAGAAAGGAAGTTCATTTTCATATTAATCCATTTTGTCTTTCAACAAAAAAAAAATGTTAAAATGAAAACCTGTATGATGAAAAAAGTTTTATCAGCTTTCCAAATTCCACATCAAGTGCTTCACACATGCCTTCTACATTCTCCTATAATTCTATCAATATCTCTAACCTTTTCAAAATTTTTATACTTTAATTCATTTCAATTCAATGCATAGTCTTCAATTATATGTATTTTACTCTAATTTTATTGTGGGACATAGATACAAATTTTATCATTCTTCCCACTTCTCAAACGTAACCTTATCCAATTTCATTCACTAGAATTTCTAGAGTCTGGCTACACAAGTGCAAAGAAACTGTTAATCTACTCTGTGCTTCTCTTTCATCATTTGTAAAACTGTACAATTATAATAATAATGATGACATTGATGATAATAGTCTCATGGGGTTGGCTGAGAATTAAATGACAAAACACATAAAATATTTAACACAATGCCTCGTGTATAGCAAATATATTCTATAGCAAGTACATTCTACTGTTGTTTATAAATGGCCTCTCATATTCCAGGCATTATATTGGAGGCTTATCAGAAGCTGTGGTTGTTCGTTTTGCCTCCCATCCCCACATCTTGACTGGCCATATTATATATCCTCAGTAGGTTAATGATAAATAGAATCCTTGAAAGTCAGTCTAAACCAGCTTCCTGATGCTTTGAACTCTAGTCCAGTGCTGAAGACAGATAAAGGAAAGGTATTGTACCATAGCATTAACATTTTGGAAGAACAGAAGTGACAAGGTCAATATCTTGGCATAGAACAGGCCAGTGGCCAGACTAGGTTGGGCCAAGCCTGGAACTGAGGTTTGTCCCTCACTTCTTACTCAAAGTATGTGAAGGAGATGGGGATAACCTGCATGGAGGAATAAAACACCCCATTTGTGGAGGCTCATCAATATGATACATGTATCTATAGTAGGCAATATTGATAACCAGAGGCGCTCTGCTTTTGCAGGGGAGGAGGATATGAGAAACTTCCATGCAACTTTCCTATGACCTTAAAACTGCTTTTTTAAAAGATTCTTCATAAATTGGAGGATCTAACAAAGCAACTGATTATTAGACATTATGTGATACCACATTTTGCCTTCCTTGTGAATTCTTCAGAAATGGACTTAGCGTTTAGATCTAATTCAAATATTCATGGAAACATTAGACAAGTGTTTTGAAACTATCTGCGAACTGGATTTAGTTTCTATGTAGATGAGGCTCATAATACTTTTCCAGAAATGATGACAGGGAAAGTGTTTGGAGACCAGCAAAAAGTGACATTGTTAGACAAATTAATGCATGAAATAATTTGGAGAACCCTGAGGTTGTTTCTCAGAAACTCCAGCCTGTGCTGTGTCAGCTATAAAGAATATAAATTTTCCTGAGAGTCCAAGAAATATTTGACATTGGCAATAGAAATATAACTTGACTTCTTTAAAGAAAAAAAGTTAAAGGCTATTCCCAGTAAAATACAAAAGACATAAAATTTATTTTGTAGCTATTTACACAAAATAGAGGAAAAATCTTGACTTTGGCTCTTGAACATGTCAAGGAGCTATATAGAAGTTGTATAGAATCAGCATGTGAAGGTCAAAGTAAATAAACTGTTATTGAGGTCAGTGAGAAATTCCTTTTATTGGGAAGAGACATGTGGGCTTCTTGACTTTCACAGTTCTGAGAACTGAAAATTGAGCTGAGTAGGAATGGGAAGGATAGTGGGTACTGATTTTATAAGAATTAAGTTTCTTTGCTAGGTAACTAATGCTGTCATGACTGACCTATCTCATTTGCAAAACATTTCTATCTGGGTTTTATTGTGGTTTCACAAAAGAACACATATTTAAAAATAAAAAACACTGAAAATTTTAATTTATTTCAGATGATGGGATGCAAGAGATGAACAGCTGCCAAGTGAGGAGACATGCCTTATGGGGCCAGGCTGGTTCTCACTAACCAGTGACCCCTGAAGCTTAAGTAGAATAGCTGCTAGTTATATCTGAGATGCCATGGACAAGACCAACCAAGCAGAAAAACAGAAAAATACATCCCATTGTTCATCACTCCTTATAGCCACCAAGAACTATGCCAAAGATGATGGGGTTTCAAATGGGGCTCAACAAGGAAGGTTTGGCTCTCCCTGTGAAGAAGGTCAGTTCGGCTTTCTGAGCTCTAAGGAAAAATGGAGATGGGCAAGGTCCTTCTCCTCATCTGAGAGTCTAACCAGAGATCTCATATGCAGCACCCCACATCCCTGGCATATTTCATGACTTTTCCTAGAAAAGTCCATAACAGATTTGTGGTCTTGAAAACCCCAAGATTAAAACACCCTGGCCCTCAGGATTTCCCCCCATCCCTTTCCTAATGCCACCTCCATGCCAGAATGCCTCCCTCAATCTAATTAATGACCCAAGACATGTAAACAGAGGGAGCTCCATTCACATGGTCATCCCAACATTCACTGATTAGCACTGTTTTTCTCAAATTCCCTTTCTTATAGTCTGATACCACTAAACAGAAAACAACAGCTTGTCTTAGAAAGAAGAGCCAGCAAGACAGAGGCAAAGTCCAGCTCCAAGAACACTGTGCCACCTATTGGGCCCTACTGCTGGGTCTCCTGATTTGCATTTCCCACATTCTGTAACCAGCCGGGCTCCAAAAATCCCGTCTTCTCCCCCTCTTGCTACCTTGGAATCTTCTCTAGCTAACCACGATCTGTTGTCAGCCAAAGATCTGAAGTTTTCACTTCTACCCCTTTTTGTCTCTATAACCCTCACTTTTCATTAGACGGTGTTTTGATTTGTCTGCTGGTGTATGTGGGTGCCCTCTTCCACGGCAGGGATGCAGGACAAATCTTCTCCCAGGGCTCCATCCTTTCAGCTCAGATCCATAGCCTGGTCTTTGCTGGAAGGATACCCATCCAAAACCAACCACTCATCCAGAACTTCAACCAGAGTCTCTTACCCAAGAGGCCGGTTACGGATGTAACAGGTGCCTTTGGCTCCTGGTTTCCTTAGAGACCAGTGTTGATGATGCTAATCCCTGGAACCCAAGGATCCAGGAGCTCATAATGTTCCTTCCTCTGAAAGATGTAGTAGAAACTCAGCCAGTCCTTAAGGAAGAGGTAAGCAAACCACAGTACCCAGCCTCTTCTCTATCTGTGAGGCTTTGCTGAGTCCCAGCAGCTAATCATAGGACTCAAACCCTTAAACAAATGATCACTCACCTGTTTGGTAGCTCAATTCAAAAGCCAGGGAAAGAAACAGTAGGAAGCTCAACGAAAGGAGTCCCTTGGGATCCATTAGCCAGTGAGGAGAGGGATACCCAGGTGCCTGACCTGGAGCACAGCAGCGGCTGCTCACAGTTGCCCCCGGCAGACAGAAGCAAGCTCCAATCAGAGAGTGCAGCCTCTGGTGTCGAGTTGGTTCCTGAACCAGCTTCCTGTCTCAACTGGGGTTTTTTCTGCCTGTGTCTCAGGGATTGTTCATCTCGCCTCGGGTCTTAGGTCACTTTGTTGTTTTTGAGAAGGACATACAAGTCATGCATTTAGACCCATGAGAACCGGGAAAGAGGCTGTGTAGTCACTTCAGTCAAACTCTGGTTTGGGGTAGAAATGAGCCCCCCCCCCCCCCCCCCCTCCTTTCCCTCTCTCGTTCTCGGAAAATGGGTGCAACATTGTTTCTGGAGGTCTTTCTTTGTACGTCTGTTCG